GCAACCACATGGTGGCTCACAACCATCTGTAATGAGGTCTGGTGCCCTCTTCTGGCCTGTAGACATACACACAGACAGAATATTGTATACATAATAAATATATATTAAAAAAAAAAGATTTTAGATAAGTTGTAAAAACCAACAGACACAGGCTTACGTTTTTGTTTGCTTCTCTGTGAAGTTACACCACCACAGAGCAGAAACAGTATACGAACATGTCAAAGATTTTTGTGGACACATTTCACTGTTCAAAGCAGAAAACTGTCTAAAAATAAAATATCATACTTAAAGTGAAATTACCTTATACCACTGAACTTTGGGTAACTGGTTGTTTTCATCTTTAAAAAAATCCAAATAAGGGCACACAAGACTTCCATCCCCTGCGATGTAGAGGCGCTGTTTGAAGGTGGCTTGCGTGCTGTAACACAAGCCAGGGTCTTTCTCTAAAACCTTCATGGTTATTTTAGTTTTGAGACAGTGAGTTGAGTTTCTAAAATAAAGTAAGATATGAAAATTCATCATTACTAAAGTGATTTTTCTGTCCTTAACTGTCATCGAGGCTTAGGACATCCCTTCCTTACCTCACTATACAATAGTAATATCCCGAGTCCTCCATCTTGGCAGGAGCAAACCAAAGCCGTTCATTCTGCTGATGAATCCTGGCGCTCTGTTCTACTGATACGGGTGTCTTGCTGTCATTTTTATACCACATTATGGTGCCGCGCTTTTCATTCGGAATTAGAGGACAATCACGAATATCAATTTCATTTACATATGAAAATAAAATGATCTCATCTGAATATTCTTTACAGTTATCTTTAAGAGAGAAAAAAAGGGAAGCAATTTCTATAAGAAAAAGTCTCGGTGTTTCTTCATGCAATATCAACATTTGAACGCATTGGTTAGTAAAGATACCAGCTCCTGCCAGATCTACAGTTCACAGCTGTGTGGTTAAGAGCAGTCTTCGGGGTGGAGACCATTTATGTTCAGTTGCAGCTCCGCCACGTGGTCCCTGTGGGCTGTACCTTGGGCAAATGACTTATCCCCTCTTACTTTCTGCTTATTCATCTAAAGGGAGGAATAATGGGAGAGAGACATTCACTCTGTGCAGTGGAGAACTGCAAAGACTAAATATGGCCTCCCGTGTGAACAGCTAACAAATGGGCAAGCATAGGAAACAACACTGTTCAAGACATGACCTAACTCTATCTCCTAGTTACTCAAGATGCTGAAAGAGACATGAGACACAGTGAACAGAGGCATAAAACAATTCAGGAAAAAAAAAAAACTTCTAGTAATAAAAAAATGCATCGTCAAGTTGAAAATATTCTGGGGAAATAATTAAGAAAACCCGAAGGCATAACATTAGAAAACATTCAAGATTAAACAAGGCGGGGGGGGGGGGAGTGAGCAAGCAGGGCATCAAGATAGCTTAGGGCAGCTAGAAAACATCTAATATGAATTGCTGCAAGAGTGGGGAACACAGAAAACATATTGGAAATACAGGCTGAAATTGCTCAAGATGTGATAAATAAGCTTGGGTCCCAAGACACAGTGAACTCTAAGAAAAGGCAAGACAGCTGGAAAGGTGGCCAGAGGTTAAGAACACTGACTGCTCTGCCAGAGGTTCTGAGCTCAATTTCTCGCAACCCCAGGGTGGCTCACAGCCATCTGTAATGGGGTCTGATGCCCTCTTCTGGCCTGCAGATCTACATGCAGTTAGAGTACTCATATACACAAAATACATAAATAAATAAATCTTTGAGCCAGGGAGTGGTGGCACCTTTAATCCCAGCAGGAAGAGGCAGGTGGGTCTCTGAGTTAAAGGCTAGCCTGGTAGTGAGTTCAAGGACAGCCAGAGCTGTTCCACAGAGGAATCCTGCCTAAAATCAAACAACGAAAAAGAAAAGATAAAGAAAATCACACCAACTGCCTAGTGATCAGATTAACACCAGTGACAAAAAAAAAAAATCTTATGTAGCCAGAGAGCCTTTCAAATTGTTTTTATTGATTTTATTGAGCTACACATCCTTCTCTGCTCCCCTTCCTTCCTCTCCACTCCCCTTCTACCCACCCCATGGTCCCCATGCTCCCAATTTATTCAAGAGACATCTATATCACAGATCATGCGTCTATGGCTCGGGGAACATCAAGGGAGAGGGGACAGAAAGATTTTAAGAGCCAGAATACCAGAAAGTCAACTATGGAACAGTTTCTCCTGGAAATAGCTGCATACACAAGACTGAAACAATAGTAACATCACTGGAGATATTAACTTGGAAGGGGAAATTTTCATGGGGTTCTATCCCTAGACAAAGAACTACAGTAACCAATGACTGCTAGAAGCAGGGGGGACTTTGCTTCACCCAAGGCTGAACCCCATTATTGGTTATCCAATACAGAGTGCTCATCCCTGAAACAATATATGCACAAACTTTTTTTTAAATTATTTATTATGTATACAATGTTCTGTCTGTGTGTATGCCTGCAGGCCAGAAGAGGGCACCAGACCTCATTACAGATGGTTGTG